TTTTTATTTTTTTTTACCATCATCTATGTCTATTGTTACCCATATCAGTGCATTTTAATGGCTGTCTCCTAGCTCTCAAGATGTTTAATACATTTCCCCTTCCATTGTATTGCAGCTAAAATATGACCTGCCGCTGTTTAAATAATGTAATTTAATGATTTCACATTTTCAGCCATGCAAGGCTTCCTTTCAGCACTGAAGCCTTTCACTAATGATTTGGGGAGATAGTTTGTTCTCATTTCTTTCAGAACTCAAGACTGAGAAAATCTGGCTTGGAAATAAATTATTGACATCCACTTTAGGAACAGTACAATGTGTAGTGGAAATAAAATACATAAAGTTTCAGTGCCGTAAGGCTAGAATCTCCAACTTGTTGATTTCTTTCAAGGTTCAAGTGTCATTCAAGCTCCGTATCAGTGGAGCTATCTAAAACACTTTTGTGCCATTGCTACGTGATGTAATATATTTGAGCCAACCCTTTGCAGAGAGACTACCAAATTGTTACCCATGGTGTGCGAGTGGCCAGCAGCGAGCTGGTAGGCAACACCACGCTAGTTTCTTCTCATTTTGAACATGTATACCATACTAAAATGATAGCTAAAACACATTAACTTTTTAGCTAAAACTGCTTTGGCTGTCATGGAAAAGTGAACGAAATGAGAGGACAGCCTTTAGCAACTCCTCAGCACTGGAATACATTCCCATTTCTCAGTGATGTCAACATGAAATCAACAGGGTTAAGAATTATATTAAAAAAACAAGACAGAACAAACTCAGCCTCCAAAAACTATCTTTCTGTTCAGATACACAGAAATATTACATTGAGACATAAAAATCAGATGGGCTTAAGGAGAGAATGTCTTTCCACAAATATCAGCTCCCAGGCATTACTGAATACTCTGAGATAAAGCAACTACTAGTCCCTTGGAGAGACTCTTGAGAAGGATAACTAAAATTTTAAAAAAAGAACACACTCCTCCAAAACTAGCAAAGGAGATGCAGAAACTGAAACTGTTTGGCCCAGAGAAAAGTTTCCCAAAGACAGTAAGTTGGATTTTGATGAACACCAGTTTGGACGATAAGATAAGAGGAAATCTGGCAGAGTGTTTTCTGCATTAAGTCAATAAGGACAGGCCAAGAAGCAATGGACTAAAAGCAATAGACAGGCAACACACTGTCTTCTAGGGTACCTGCCTCACTTTTTCCCTTCTCACAACCTCACCATTGCTATCGTGACACCTCCAAAATTTTTGCTGGTTAAGAAAGCACAGCTGTGTTCCAGCCGTAATTCTAAGAAATGGTGAGGGGAAAACAGGTGTGTAAATTTCTTGGGACAACAGCTTTTTTGGATGGTTTTTCAACTCTTATTTTCAGTGCTTTTAGTGAATTACAGTAAAAAGTTATGGTTGGTGATTTTATTGTTTTCTTCAAAGAACTGTTGGCGGAAAGCCAAAGTTCCATAGGTGAATCTGTGTTATGTTCAGGGATTTCTGTTTACTCTAAAGCAGATGGCTCTAGTCTGCCACCAACCCTCTGGCATCTCAGTAAATTGTATTCTTTGCATATTCCTTGTGCATATGAAATTTGCTGAATAGGAGCCAGAGAAAACACATTTTTGTAAGTTTCACAGCAAGAATTTACACATTCACTTTCCTTCCTTCTGTTCACACACATTTGACTTATTTGCTTAGGGAACAGATATGGTATAGCAGTGTGCATGGCAAATGACATAGTGTAATGAACAGAAAACAATCAAGTATGTATCAAGAAAAGTATTTTTGAAAGAGGCTTAGTCTAAACCTCTTTTCACTTACAGGAACAAAATTTCTATTGACTTAGTGTTGGATCAGGACCATATAGCAACTGAACAATTTAACACAAATACATTTGGAAAAAAAAATCTTATTTATAAGTAACTGACAAGTGAAGAATAGGTAATTTCACTGAATAAGTTATACTGTGTGAGTAATTTCCATATCATTAATCGCTCCATTTTACCAATGTCTTGAATTTTAAAGAAACTCTCGTTTTCTCATTTTAAGTACTTAACATATCTCCTCTATGATTCCTATCTCTGAATGCTCTTTTCTCTTTCCACAACCAAGGGTTTTCATTGTTTTATCCAGTCACCCTGAGGTCTCATACTTATCACCCTGAACCAGACCTGAAAGTCCCTGAGAAGAAAATCAGTTAAACATATATGTGGATCACACAAAATGTAGTGGGATTACTCCCTTGATCAACGTTTAGTATAAACTCAAGTACTCTGTTAGATCAGAACTTTTCTGAATTCATACATTATTCAAAAAGTCTTAAGGGTGTCTTTTGAGTTACCTAGCTGGTGTGATGAAGAGGTTTAGAAGTTTACTGATGAGAGAAAAAAAAGGAAGACACAAGAAGACCCAGCTCACAGGAGCTTGACTGCACTGGAAATTCAAGGACAGAGATGTGACAACAGGAGTAATAAGACAGGTTAAAAAACAGCATGAAAACATGTCCCCCAGTCATCTAGGTTGACCATGCCACAGTGAGGTTTAAGAGAGATGGAAGTTGATGAACATGGTCTGATTTCACCCAAAGGGCAGGTATTACCAAAACTGTGTTGAAGCATGGGCTTCTATTAGTATTCCTATAAAAGTGCTGGCTACAAAACAGAACACACATTCCATGATTATCTTTCAAATAACCACAAAAAACAGGGACCAGAAGTCAATCAGGTTCAATGGAACTGATGATACCACACAGCTGAAGATATTCTCTAGAAACACAGCACTCTCACCTGACTCCTACCTTCATTCATGCATGCATTGGGTAGTGGGCTATATAGGAAGCAACAGAAGCTTTTGACTATGATTCAGGGCTCTTAAGAGCTATCTTGACCAAGTTACTTCGCTTCCTTGTGTATCAGTTTCATTTCCAAATAATGAGGGCAGTGGCACTTGCTTAGAGGATCAGGAGGGAAGGGTAGAAAAGACAGCAATCAGCAACGTAACTAGGTGAATTTGTGGGTTCGGTTCATTTCAGCGACTTTATGGAAGCTGTGATTGCGTTCATAGACAGGGAACTGCACCTGGTGCTCCAGCAAGTCCCTATTTGATCCCATGCTTCTATCTACCAGTGAAGATTATAAAGGGAACCTTTTCATCTGGTAAGGTCATTGCTTGCAAAATTTATTTGGCAGCAGAGTTACACCTTTTAGCTAGCAATTAGACACCCATGGCTAAACTGAAGAGCAAAGGTTGCCTGGCTTAATCCCTACCCTCCAGCTTTGCAACATGGGGTGAATAAACGACGTAAGACCTGCACGAGCTTATGTTTATTTATAATACTACATACCCAGCAACTATAACCTGGAGCACTCCAGAGTGGAAGGATACATTTTTATAATGCCTGTTTCTTCATTAAGATTTCATCATGCACCTACGCTAAAAAGCCACTTCCCCTACACTTTGTTATATCTGCTTTTACCCGCTCCTGTTCCTGCATTATTTTTTTAATCTCCAGTTCCCTACTTTACATGCACTCTCAAATTTTAAACAAGCAAAATTTGTGCATTAGTGTGTCCTTTTCATCTATGATTTATGAATGACAGGTTCTTCGGTGCAGCTTAATGGTATGAGAGAGACATTATTTTAAACATTAAAGTGAAAACCATTTACAACTATGATAAGAGAGGTCTGTTGACATTAAACTTTAAAACATGCACAAGGTAAAGGCAAGTAGCTGCTCCAACAGGTGAGAATACTATGCATGCGGTTTGTAAGGGAGTTTGTTCAACACATGAGCTGTCTCTTCCTTTTCTCTGTTTCACAACCTGTAGGATTTGGTGCTTCAAACAATTCATCTGGTAATCAGCAGCCACCAGAGTTTAATAACTAAAAAGTACTTAGAGCACCATGCAGAGCATTCATTTAAAAAAATTACCATTCCACTCAAGGAAAACTTTTCCTACCATTTACATCAGCAAGAAGTAAAACCAATTAAATAAATAAATTGAAAGAGCTGAAGCTTTATTTTGGTACTTCCTGCTCACACCTTTATCACTTTCACAATGGACAATCACTTCCTTACCATCCTCTTCCATTAAAGCTGTACAATTCTATTTTAAGATATTGGCTAATGCTTATCTTGCTATACTTGTTTCAGTTCTGTTCAGCAGCAACTGCTTTCTGAGAAGCAATCAACATAATTAGGAGTAGTAAATAAATACATCTGTATTTTATATCATATCTGTTTGGATTGAGTACTGTTTCTAACAGTGTTAGACACATTGATTGAACAGCAGAGAATATTAGGGAAGAACAGGGATCTTATAGAACTGCTTTTCTGTTTGATTTTACACCACAAGGAGAATGCAGCAGATAGGGTAGAACTGTTGCAAACATGGTACAGCTCAGACAATGGGGAGGATACATACAGAGATGAACTTTTTGCTTGTGGCTTGAGGGAGTGGTGTAACTCCCTCAACAGCTTGGATGAGGATGGCGGAACCTTACTGATAAAGCAGACCTCCCACAGCAAGAATGAGAACACCTATTTGGGGCACTGATGGCAGCTGAGAAAACTCTGATTTTACAATAAAGTTTTTTTTAAAAGTTATTTTCGTGCAATACTGTGGTTTTAGTTGCCCCTATTCATTCAGCTACCGTAAACAGCAGTGGCAAAACAGAATACTTGTCTCCATGCTGCCATTTGAAATTTTAAAGTGAACTGTGAGCACTGAACATTGACCACTGATGACAGAAAAGCCTAATGAATCATTCAAGTACTTTACATTACTGACCCATAGAATCTAAGACCTAACCTCAATCTGTTTTTATAAAAATGCAAATATCCCTTAAGTACCTCTCAAGTATTCAGAAACAATCTAAGTATTAACTTTCAATACACATCAAGAGCAACATTTCATTGGAAAAAGAGATCACTTGGTTTAAAACAGAGAGATAAAGTGAAACAAACAGGCAAAAGAACCTAATAGCAAAATGCTAAACATGACTTACCTTGTAGATTTTGCAATGGCAAAGTCATGATGCCTCCTGCTGCAGCTGCTGCTACCAGCCCTTGGATGTTGGTGAGATTCGCTGTAGGTAGAGTTAGGACGAGTCCTTGTTGGCCCCCCAGCTGCCCAGCCATGTTGAAAGGAATAAGGATCGGTTGATTCAGGGCTGGAGTGCCTCCTGGCATCACCCCCGCTACTGCTGAGGCTAACTGTTGGGCTGTCAGTAATGGCTGTAACAAAATACAGACACCAAGCCTGTTTTACTGTGCATAGCTCAGTATTACACACTTATAAGTCTTCTAGCTTGGGATCCTTTAGTGTTCCGTTATAGACATGCACTGCTTCCAATATCTTAAAGCCTACATTTTCACCAACACAGAAAGTTTTGACAAACCTGACAGGCTGAAGCTGTAAGCCTTACAGTCATGTAGCATGGTAGCAATCCCAGTTGAATCTAGACTAGAGAATTCATTACACGTGCACCAAAGATAATTTATGAACACAAGAAGGCCTAACTCGAGTCAGCCTACAAGTACCTAAATGCCAACATTTCCCAAATTTTCCCAGTTTTATACTGACTGGTAAAAGCTGAAACACTACAATAACAATCACCAGACCAAGACTGTCCTGGGAAGTGGAAGAACACTGAATATCTTCTTAAGAGCATGACTGAACTTGGATAAAACTGTGGAGTGATATGGGAAATCTTTTAAAATGTTATACAGTGCCATACTATTATGCCTACATTTTGCTCTAAAGAAAATAAATAGCTGGCATAAAAGATAATGAAATGCCTTTACTAATGCAGGAGCTGTGTGTGACAGGCAGAGCTGTCAGAGCCAATAAGGTTGCATTAAAATTACAGAAGCTTTTTAATATAAAATTATGATGTATTTAAAAAGTAACTTATATAAGAAATTCAAATAATTTGACCTCCTAAATATGCAAACCTGCTTAGGTTTTATTTTAGAAAAACATACAAAAAGCTAATCGTTCCAAACAAATAACTTTTAAAACATATACATGATACATACATGCTCCCTTTTTGTAACATTAAATGCAGCCAAACAGAATCACATTTTCTACATTACATAGATCAAAGATGATCACAGTTATTTACTTTTCATCAAATTGTACGTCTTGATTAGTCAAAAGGAAAGATACTGACCTGAGGCCCAACAGGGAATGCAGGATGGGACTGACTGGGTTGGTGCTGGTCTGCTGGGCTCGTGTCAGGCAGCACTGTGTTTCCTCTGGCCTCTGAAATCCAAAGAGCAGATTGACTTTAATATCAAGCCCGGGGACTGGCACATTACCTTCTACTCTGATGTCACATAACATCAAGCTGAAAATGATATGTTAAAGTGCTTTATCAATAACTCAAGCACTCAAATCACTTATCAGCTGCATAAATTATGCTAACATTCATTCAGACCAGCCAACTCATTCAAGGAGCTACAAAAATCTGACAGCAGTGAAACTGAAGCTATCATCAACCCAGCTAATGTGGGTTGCATTATACATCAATTTACATACAGTACATGAGCACTCTGTGTGTGTGGGAACTGCATTTTTTACGCTTACGTGAGCATCAGCCATTCTAATTTCTGAAAGCAAAAATTATCTGAAAAACAATCAAGTGACATCTGCTTTGTATCTTAATAAAGTATTTTCTTTTGTCAGTTACTGAAGCAGCACATTGCACGATGTGCAATAAAAAGGCACTATGAAAACTGAAAACAGGTATGCTTCCAAATGACAGCTTGTTTTCTAAATTGCATGTGGGGGGTGAGCAAAATTCTGTGAAACCAAGGATTTCCAGCATTTATTGAGATGATCAATATCCAGCAATCGAACTATATGCGGGGCACTAATGACTTGCTAAGCACAGAACACAGTCCGACCCTACTGGATTTTGCTGAAGTCTGCAATACAGATTTGAAAAGGAAAAAAAGAAAGAAAAACATCCTATCAGTTGTATAAAAGTGCCAAGATGTTTTCAAAACTGTGTCCCAATCCTCCATTTCCTCTGGGTGAAGCACTCGCATTGATTCACAAAGTTTTTCAGGGCTGATGGCATGATCAGGCCCACATTTATCTTTGAAGCTGAAAGAATGACAGCAAGTACCAAAAGTAGCTGCAAGAGTACTGTGGTCTCTTAAAAAGAAAACCCTGGTAACAGCATCAGGTTTCCTGGTTGGTACGATAGCTTCTGTTCTGTTAGGTTTTTTTGATGAGCGGTTGAAATGCCGTTCTAAGTAAACCTTAACAAGATGCTCTTTTCCAATGTTTGTCCTATGAATAGCAAGTGCAAGATAATTCAGAACCAGTTTACTGGCACACCATGGAGCGGTAAGGAAAAAGGATACGATTCTGTCATACTTATAAATTTTAAAGAGGGTATTATCAGCTCATTTAAAACAAATTCTTCTATATATTCTCCAAGGGGACAGACTTATAAATAATGGAAATGCGAAAAAAAAATACTTCAGCACATTAAGGTACAAATAAAATTGACTGCTACATATTATTCAATTGACTTCTATCTCTACAGCAAGGTGTCAATCATAACAGCATTTTAGAATAGGATTAAACAATAAATGTGCAGAGTTATTATGCAGAAATCTGAAAATCTGATTAATTTGTAATATTTTTGTGTGGTCTCAAAAAGTCAGAAATGGACGTTGCTTTGGGAATGCTTAAAAACAGTCTATTGAAATATCTGATTCGGAACTAATAAAAACCTACAGACTTGCTGACATTTTATAAAGGGAATTCTATAAAAATATGTTTGGCATTTTAATGACCACTGTCATTTAATAATGAGAATAAGCTGACCTCCTATAATCAGTGAGGACTCCAACAATTGCCTAATAACGTGCAAAAAGAGACGCAGTCACTAAATTTTTTATGTATAATTTACTCATCCGAGTTACTTGAAAAGAAAGAAATGTAACTAGATATGCGAGATTCAGTGAAAATTGTTTCTTTCAAATGCATTACAATCCTACTGCTGCTGCCATCCCTAAGACCAAAGAGGTTTTCTTCAGTATGGGTTCCTACTATACAAAATAAAGTGCTATATTACTAAACACAATTTTACCTTTGGTAATTTCCACATATTATTACGGTTTTTTTTAATCTTCTTATCACAGCTGTATGCATAAAGTGATATTAGATCAAAGGCTCAATACCAATGAACATATCACTCCCCATTAAGATCAAATCTTATAAATCAATTTTGTTTATGTAATTTTAAGGACTAAGGATTTTGTCTTTGTGTGTGATTTAATTAATATTAAAACAAGCTCCTGATAATCTGTCACGTCATTAAATTGTCCTATGAAAGCTTGGGGGGAAGAACAAAACTCAAGTCAAATATTCACTAGAATTAGATTTTATTGCAATTACTATAGCTTGAGGTGTCAGAAAATAAATAAGAAGTTCTGAAGAAATATGCTTGTGCTTTAGTATGTTTTTACATGGTGCAGCCATCCTAAGAACCACTGTTTTCTGTTATCTGCACCCTAAGGATTTTGCAATATTTCATCTCACAAGCTGTATGTAGCACAAATGGGTTATATAGGATCATAAAGCCAAAATTAATTACACTCCTTTCCTTTTGCATTGTATTAATTGGAATTACTTAGGACTACGTTCCTTTCATATGGTCACTCATCGCAGATGATGTATCTCTCTATTTCAGTGCTCGAGTGCTCTGCCTGCTGCTTCTAGCTCAGTTTCCATATGATGCAGGCATCTCAGCAAAACAGAACACACTTTCACGTGCATGAATGTGGTCTTACACGACACCCTATATGAAATTATGCATGCTGTATTCTCAGACTGAAATTCTCACATTTCCTCTCATGCCCCTTCTAATCTACCTGCTACAACAGCCACACAAGGTTCCTTCCAAAACACACAGGAAAATCTGCCTGCTGGGCTGGCAGTAAATACAGCGAAGCGAGGATTTCAGGGTTAAGTTCTGTTGCATCACACACAGTGACAGCATTTGTTCCTTGCTGTACGCTATCTTCAGTGAGATGCATAGGTCAAAGCTCCCAGGAAGGTGAAGCAGAGTACAAAACACTGGTAGAAGGCTACTTTTCCTTTTCTGCCTTATAGTGTTCGATTATCAGGTGGATTCCTCTGATTTCAGAGGATCTGAGGAGTCAGGAGAGCTCTGGGTCACAGCTACTATTTCTGATTCACAAACTCATTGCTACTAATTCGGAAAAATACCTTCATTAAGACCATTGCTCTAAACTGGCAGCGCACAATCCCCTGCATTGTTTTTCCCCTCTGTTTTACCACTTCTATTTGGGACTTCATTACTTCCAGATGCTGGTATGACCTCTGCAGGTAAATTATTCCCCTGTCCAAATTCCAGTCCTCACTAATGAAAACGTCCTATCAAATTCTAGCCTAGATTTTCCACTTGTCCAGATTCAGGCCATTACCTCCTGTTAGGCTATCCTCCAACGCTGCTCAGCTTTCTATCAGCGAGGGGCATGGCAGCAAGGAATCGGGACTCATAGCAGTCCCTACGGAGCTGGGGAGCTACCAGCAGCACCTTCTCGGTTCTCAACTACACTTTGGAGAGATTGAACTTTCATTACACCTCCAATTGCTGGTGCACAAGGGGCAGGGAGTAGGCAGTAACAGCGCACCTAGTCTGGAAAGAGAAGTAATTCTCCTTAACCGCATTTGCTTAGGCAGGGAGCTAAGACTTCTCTTATAACTGAGTGCTGCCATCACAGCCTAAGTCAATGAGTTTGCTCAGTAGTACCATACGAACAGACAGGAGTGCTACTGCCATGGTACGGCCATGACTGTAGACAAGGCTTTAATATTTAATAAGCAGCATTCTTCATATGTGATTCATCATAAATTAATTATAAATTATATAATACATACGCTCACCTCTCATCCCACCAAGGGGCTGGAAGGGCATGACACAATAAAAAACTGAAGTGCACTGTAAACATTGTAAAATAACCCACTTAAAATAAAATATTATTTAAAATAAAGCTAAGTAAAACAAAGGCAACCTTCCTCTCCCTTTATCAAACAGAAAAAAAAAAATAAAATCCCCAAAACCAAGTAAAAAACCTTGTTGAACAATACTTGATTTAAAAATGAGAAAACTATATGAAAAACATCAGAAGGAAAAAAAATTCCACATCCCAAGGCGTCCGAGCCTCTTACAAAATTACAACTGTAAACGCACTAGTTATAAACAGGCTTTCCACAGTTTGCTTCCTTTTGTCTCTTACACATCTTCAGCAACACAACAGGTTATTCAGTTTTAAATGTCTTCATCTCCCAGTGCCCCATGAAGCAGGGAACACTCTACTTTACAAATGAGCAACTAATGGACAGAGGGACTCGGATCCGGATTCTCAAATCAGCACCATTTAGGCACCTAGATCTCCTGAGCTGTAGTTACACTGTTCAGGAAAGCATGAGTCAAAACACAAAACCGCTCTGTGACTCCTTGGCTGCTGCAGGGCTTCCAGCAGCTCTGGCAAGGTGAACCTGCACGTGTTCCCCAGCACCCTGCGCTTGGATGCACTGCCCGTCCCAGCGGCCCTTGTCTCACATGAAGTCGGATGCCCGCAGGGAACCTGCAGCTGACTGGCAAATGTGACTGTGATGAAGAGCATTACAGGATACACAACGAAGTGCATTAAACACGTACATCCAGCTCTGTCCTGGACCTCCTGGTTCATCTGCAGATGCGTGCTTGTACCTGCTCAAAGGCGTGATGCACACTAGCATCTCCTCCCGGACTCCGCACCAAAGCTCACTCAAAGCCAATGCTCAAACCACAGCATAGGACCAGCCTCAGCAGGTGATCCGGACATGAGTAACTTCCTCATGGTCTTCAAGAATAAATTCAATGTGTCTCACATTTTTGTCAGAACCAGGGAGATGCTGGGCCACCTCTCTTTAGCACTCAAAGCTTTGAAAAACAAGCAGGATCAAATGTAATAATACTAGATTTTCAGTAATCAAAAGAATACATAAATCCTTCTGAGATACCCATTTAAGCAAATATTTTAAATGAATCAACATTAATAAAAGAACACAGAATCTCAAGCAACAGTTCATATTAAAATTTAAAAATATTAAATTACTTGTATTTATCTCTCAGTAACTGTAACAATAAGAAATCAAGAGTAGACTTTTTTCTTACACATTGAGCCAATTCACATTAAAGATACAGCTTTAAGAATGAAATCATTAAAGTGAAA